GGATGCTCAGAATTGAGCAGCATTGGACTGTTGTGATCATCTAGTGCCACAAGATGGCATCGGAGTCCTCTTTTTCTCTCTCGCCTTAGGGGAAGGTGGAAGCAGTCCGCTTGCAATGGAAGGGATCCAATATTACAGGAACTCCGAGTAGGCACCTGAGTCCAAGACGGCCTTTGTGGCATGATCAGCATCAGCAGGATGTGTTCGGCGGTGTCACTTCCCGGCTCGGCTGTGACGGGTTTGTCTGGCGCTCGGCGAGGCTGAATACACTAGGGCCTGCTTCTGTAGTTTGTAAGTCTTAGTGGCATGGTTAAATGAGTGGCTGTGATACAACTAGTGTACGAAAGATCCTCTTGTCTTATGCCCCTGCTCCCCCGTGTTATGGTTATTTATGCTGCAGCATTTTTGCTGTCTAGTTCCTGTCCCACTTCCGTGTCTTTCCCATGAGCAACAGAGAATGAGGACATGTGGGAAACAGTTGGGTGGTCTTCACAATTAGGCAAAAAAGAGATCTGGGTAATTGCCTTGATTTAATTCTGAAAGGCCAGGTTGAAGAAAGCAGCATCTGGGGTCAGTCAGAACTGGAGAGGGCCAGAGAAAAACAGGACCCGAGTTTGAGCGTAGGTATTAGCATTAGATAAATTCATGGGGGACAGGTCCATCAATGGCTATTAGCCAAGATGGTCAGGGACGCAATCCTGTGTGCTGGGTGTCCCTAAACCTCTGTTTGCCAGAAGCTGGGACTGGACGACAGGGGATGGATCACTCGATAATTGCCCTGTCTTGTTCATTCCCTCTGGGGCACCTGGCATTGGCCACTGTCAGAAGACAAGATCCTGGCCTAGATGGACTGACCCAGGGTGGCGGTTCTTATGTCATTGAAACACTGGGACAGCCAAGGCTAAACCTTGGAGGACTGCAGGCTGAAGGCCCGGGCTGGGAAACCTGAGCTTTGACGGTGTGGTTTTCTATTTGAAAAGCCTTGTGCGTGTCCTTTCCCAGCTCGGGGAGGAGGCTGAATAAAACTTTAGGCCTTGAGAGAGAGAGAGAGAGAGAGAAGCGTAATGAAAGCCAGACCCACTGCTCGAGCTGCGCCTGGGTCAGTGTAGAAGAGGGGGGGAATCTTTTGTCCTTGGTCTCTCTAGGGACGTCCCTGGTCCTCACTGTCACATTGGCCGGGGGCTGCCCACTCCACAGTAGATTTTATCCTGACGGCACCCATGGGAGCTGGCTGTGCTGTTAGCTGGAGACCAGCGGCACTGAGCACCCCAGCGATTGGCCGGGGTCACACAGGGAGCCTGGGCAGAGCAGGGACCTGAAGCCATGTCTCTCGAATCCCCAGCCAGCGCCCCATCTTACCTGTCTCAGCCCAACGTCGTCCCCCTGAGCCCTTGACCCTCTAAGCCTGGATCAGCTGGGAAGGAAAAGCACCAGCTCCCACTTCAGCAGCCTCTGAGCCTAACCTGCCCCAGCTGGTGTTAAGGGGGTGGGGTTTCTGTATAGCCCAGTGCATCCTGGGGCATTGTGACATCACAGAAGCCGATAAAAGGGCTGGTGCAGCCACACCAGTGGAAGCAGTAGGGGTCTCTCTGGTTGTGGGGGCACAGCTGGTTCTTAGAGGACCACTGGCTCCTTGAGGAATCCGAATGGGGAGGGAGGCAGATGGCTGCACCTTAAAGATGGCCTGGGGTGGGGGTTCATGACTGGGAGTAACACTAATCCTTGTACCACTCCCCGATCTGCCTAGCCCCATTAGTTCTACACAGCCCCACCCCCGGGGAAGGGCTCAGCGACTGACAGACCAGAGTGAGGCCTGGAGCGTTGGAGGGGCACTTCTCCCACCCTATATCGGTGCCCATCCCCATGGCCTCTGAGCACCTCCTCTGCCGCTTCTGCTGCCATCACTGGGCCCAGAGCCGGCCAGTGCTGCTGCTCCCTGGGCACTGCCAGTAGGGGTCTCTCTGGTTGGAGAGATGGGAGAACTGGGCGAAGGAAAACCAGGCCAGGGAGAGGGGGCGAAACAGGCAGGAGAAAGGGCTTCTCAGCCCCTAGTGCTAACACAGGCCTGCGTGCTCACTCCTCTGACAGTCGCACGGGGGGCTGGGTCCCTCTGTTAACCCTTCCAGTGCCAGAGCCGGGAATTCACTCATCTCCTGTTGTTTGCCAAGGGTAAATGGTTAAGGTTTGGCAAAGTCATAAGGGACTGAAACCAGACTCTTCTGATGGAACGTATGAGCTGACAATACTGCCTAGATCTCTCGGCCTGTGGCAGGGGTTTGGTTCGTTGGAAGGTTTGAAAGCCTGGAAATTCTAAGTTTGTGGAAACAACCTTAACTCTGCCCCCATATTCCAAAACACTCTCCATGTATCTGCTCTCTAATGGTAAGTCTTAATCAATTGTTACGAATACCTGGGGCCAGGTTTTCAGCTACAGCAGGACAGCAAGTCAGCCAGGGCTGCAACGGTCACCTATGTACTCCCTCCCCGGAACCCCCTGCCACCCATTTGGAGGGCTGATCTCTCGGCATCGAGGTACAGCAGCCTGAGAAGTGCTTTAACTCACCGGTTCTCAATCCGAGGTACGCAGAGATCTTCCGGGGGTACAGCAACTCATCCAGCTATTTGCCTCGTTTTACAACAGGCGACATAGCGAAGTCAGAACAAACTAAAATTTCATACAATGACTTGTTTATACTGCTCTGTGTACTCTCCACTGAAATGTAAGTACAGTATTTATACACCAATTGATTCATTTAAGAAGTGTATGGTAGCAATGCGAAAGTTGGCCATTGTTCAGTACTAGTGCGCTGGGCCACTTTGGTATTTTTAGCACTGATTGTGTAAGCGAGTGGTTTTGAAGTGCGGTGAGACTTGGGATCCGCTAGACAAATCAGACTCCTGAAAGGGGGACGGTAGCCTGGAAAAGTTGAGAGCCGCTGCTCTGACTTACAGTGTCTGCTAATGGCCACAAGGGGCCGACATTGCAACCATGGATTGGTGTAGCTGAAGTGTCTGTTGGCCACCTCCCCTTTCTTTGCTACACCGGCCGGGTGGAACGGGGTGGGCAGTGGTATCAGAGTCTCTGCCACACTGCGAGCTGATCTTACCAGCTCCAGGTATATAAGCTTTTGGGCCATTGCTTATCACACAGATCAGTTGCATCTCCCTGTGTTACCTTGTCCCTCCCCCACAGTCTGTTTGTAGCCGCCTGTTGGCTCATCTTGTACTTAGATTGTAAGCTCCAGGGGGCAGGGCCCATCTCTTTGTGCTATGTTTGTACAGCGCCTAGCGCAACGGGGCAGCGGCAATGCAAATAATAACTCAGAACATGCTAAAGCCCATTGCTACCCTTCTATCCCCGTGGCCAGGGGGGCGGGGGATCAGCTGTATCACAGCAATCAGTGGTACAGGGAGTGCGGCTCATCTCTACGGGTCTGATTGGGAGTGAAATCAGGAGTCGCAGCGCTTTCAAACGCCTGGAAGTGAGATCAGAATCCGTCCTAATTGATTTACCCTGGGGCAGCCCTTTAGAGCAACGAACCTGTAGAGCTCCTTGTTTGTAGGAAGGCAGCGTAAAGGGCTGGCAAAGCCCACGTACCTGGCACTCATTGTGAAGAGCACCGCAGGGTACCTCCCCCCTGGCTGGCTTCCAGAGTCCAGGCTGCAGCCCGAGCAGGAAAATCTATGCTGCTATTATTAGTCCTGTAAGCCCAAGTCCATTGACCCCGGCTCAGAGTCGGTGCCACAGGTTTTTCTTTGCAGTGTAGACACACCCTGGTTTGGGGCCTGGTGAGCCAAGCACTGCAGAAGGGGCCCGCCCCCAACTCGTCTCAATCAAATGCTTTTATATCTATAACTAAACGAAAGGACCAGCTGCTGGGTCACCTCTCTGCACTCCTCTCCCCCACCTGCACTAACGGGGAACAAGAGATCTCTGGCGATGTATTCAGTGACCTCAGGACTTACCAAGGAAGGG